AAACATTGAAGTATCGTTACATCATAACAAAATACCATAAACAGGTGAAGAACAGGCTCCTAAATGAATCAAGGGGCCTAAAAGGCAACACTGCTTTGTGGACAGACCCACAATTACTGACCCACAAAAATAATAAGTAACAAAAGACATATCCCAGAATTTAATACCCTAAAATAAAATTACACCTGTAACAACAGTATATTGAGTAGACTACATATTTATATTGCTGGTGAAAGTGCCTTAAATTCGGGCTTTTTGGTTTGTTATCACAGAGAATTTGTCATGACATACTACAGTATTGAAACACATACTCAAACTGACAAGATGATGATAATGAGCTTGACTTGAACTCATCTGTTGTACTGAGACCATAAACCTTTTATTCTACCTTTCCTTTTCTTTAGCTGTCTCTGCCCTGTATTTGATTCCTACAGTGATGTAAAACCAGGTCATGACAATGGAGCCATATGTTCAGAGGTGCTGCTTGAACTCCAAAAGTGATGTAAATCTTTTCCTTTGGTTGATTTCATTCATTTTGTTTTTAATTTGAAAGATACAGCTCACCACTTTCTGTCAGAGTAACATGTTCAGACTGATATCAATTTCATATTTGTGCTGAAAATATGGAGACAGGGGAAAGCACCCTGGCTCTGTCCATAGGAAACAAAACCCACTGTTTAACACATTAAAGTCTAAACCCTACCCACTTTTTTAAGTGTGTACCCAACAATTCATTGTTTTATTAGAGGCAATGTTCCTGTGCTTGGCTAACGAATAATCCAGCAAGACCTGTTTCACCACAATACCAGTCTTGTTTTAGTAGAGGCAATGTTCCTGTGACTGGCTAACGAATAATCCAGCAAGACCTGTTTCACCACAACACCAGTCTTTGGTCGTGATCTAAGATTGTGTTTCATCAGGTCAGGGAATAGACTGAGATATATGTAACAACAGAGGAATCAATGGTAGAAGTTGATACGATAGATACATTTTCACCTGATACTACAAAATAAAGGCGTTGAAATCAGACAACAGAGGAAAACACAAAGGCTGGAAAAATGAGCTGCTATTTGCTGGTTTATATCAGTGATTCATTTTAAATAGACATCAGCCTCCTGAAGGATTTCATTTCTTTCCAANTGATCAAACCTTCCTGTGCACAACAACAGTTAAACACTATCAATAAACAGTGTGTAATGATAATGTTCATGTTCAAAATCGAACTCATTCATCTGAGATAATGCTCTGCATGTTCATTCTGCGCCATGGAGGAAGTTATTCCAACACATTTTGGTGCGGATCCAATACATTTTTAAATTTGACTGAACATTGTGAGATGGAGTAATTCATTGATCTTGATGAAAATAAAATCTTTATTTAGTATTTAGCGGATGGACATGTGCAATTTGTTGCAGCTTGATTGAATTCAGATGCACTGTTGGGCCTTGGTGGAGGTATGTGGTCTCCTGAGTGCCATTCTAGTATTGGAAATGATTTTCAAGCCTAAATGAACCTTTACAAGGAGTAGATTGGTCTTGGCTGAACATCTGTCAGACAAACTGCAAATTATCATGAGCCTTGAATACTTAATGCACGTGTGTATAACTTTGATTGGAAGACAGATGGTTTGTCCTTCTCTGGTTTTAATACAGCAGCTTATCTTTTATGATGTATTATAACCTTTAATTAAGGGTCTGTTTCCTCCAGTGGAATGGAGCACTGGTCACTGTTAGAGACTGCTGTGGCCTGATTATACAATTAAAAAACATATGTTGTGAATCACAGCTCACTTGTAATATCTTGTAATAACAGTAACAATCTAAAATACTTTTTAAAGCACAAATCATGAGGCTAGTGAAAATGAACATCTCTGTTAGTGATAAAAAACAATGATAAAAAAAAGAATAATGTACAGAAATATAATTCTTTATAATAATCGTTTCATAAGTGAATCGTAGTCCTTTGAATCCGGAATTGAATCGTGAGGTGCCGGAAGATTCCCACCCCTACAAAAAAGTCCAATTGCCTCTGTAAACATGTGCAACTTTTTTTGTCATGTAAAAGGAACAAAGACGTGGTCGTCCACGTGCATCACATGCCCTCTCCTCACTTAGTGTCCTCCACCTGCCAATCCTATGCTCGTCATGTGCTGTTTTCCTGTCTCGATGATTATCAGAGAACAGAAACACGAGGGATGTCACTATGAAGATTCATCATATGTCATACGATGCACTCTCTGTCTCTCTGTAATACAAAGAACATTCCAGATGTAATCTGTTTTCATCAACTTCTTCAACTCATTATGTAACACAGATCCTCATCTTTGATAATAGCATCACTGGTCTTTACAGGTTTTACAAGCTCACAGCAACAGGTGGGAAATACAGAAGGGGATTAAGATTCCTGAACACAATACATATTTCTTTACTGAGGACAGTGAATTTTCAATTATTGATTAATGAAAATTCATGAGTCAGTATCTTGTCTAATCAGGATGTTTGAACTGTGTTAGCTTGCTCTGACTGTGCACAGTAATAACATTTGAATAATACAAATACATCACTTAAAACAAATCAAATCAACACACTGAACCTACAGATTCACAAAATGTTGCTAAAAGCAAAATAATAGAAAATAAAGGTTAATAAAAACACAGGATCCGAAGTTAAATTCACAAATAATTAATAATAATCTTTGTTCAGTTCTAAACCTTGACCAACTATTGTATTCTGCCAGATCATGTGTTTTTGTTATGGATGTGAATGATCTGGAGCCAAAAAACAAACAACTTTTTATAAAATTATGACACAATTGCACAATTGCACAATATGCACAAATTTAGTAGTACGCATTATGCTTCACCTCGTGTTTTGTGGTGATGCTGTTTAAAGGGTCAATTCACCCAAATTACAAATAGCACTGTTTTAACTGTAGTGGTATAAGTATTAGACCTATCAGAAATAAACGTGATAAAAACCTCTTATTATCAGACCATGGAAGCAACATTTATCGGAGTTGTTCACACATTTGGCAGTATGAGCTCTATTGAGGAATATGTAGGAATGAAACTATGATTACATGGGCTCCTGCTGTGATCTGCACAATCTGCAGAGGTTAAAAATGTCTTTAGGTGAATCAGTGTAATCTCATGAAGTTTCCTGGGGTCTGAATCACAAAGCAAGTTAAGTTGGTTATCCAACAGTTATCTTTAAATAAGGTTTTCCAGAATCATTAAGATGGCTTGTTTTAAACCAGGGTAGTTCTCCATTATAGCCTGTGCTGCAGAGCAGGTTAACTGACCAACTACTGAACAATCACACTACTGGGAGTCATTATTCTGATATGGACATGTGCACTAACTATATTAGGGTGCTGCATAATAAAGAGCAATACAGTTGTTCTGAATAAGGAAAAGGAACACTAACAGAACAGTAACTCTAACAGGCTAATAAATGATGGTTATATCGTTGCTGAATGTTAATTATGTACGCTGTTAAGGTTGAATATGACAACCATATTCTTAAGAAACAAATTCCTCAAATTATTTATTTGTTAGGTTTTGCTTTTAATACTTTGATATTCCATATTCTCCTATCGCTACTTTGTTCGAGTGGCAGCATCATATTGTGTAACTTTCCTTGTATCATATTATAGTAACTGTGTTGTGTGATGGCTTGTCATTAAGAATTATTTCCCTCATCCAGGATCAGACATCATTTTCAGTTGTGCTGTTTGAATGTAAACATGACTCCATTTTCTTGTGTAATCCTGTCACAAGTTCAGTGATTGTGTTTTGGGCTCCAAAAGTTTCCACAACATGGTTAAACATACAACTCAGTACTAAAGACTCAGGGAGGTGGAGCTGCTGCAGCTGTTCTGTTCACGGGCTGCTCATGCTTCACCTTCTGTGTAGACACAGTGTGAATTGAAATTGCTTTGTGATACAGACCTCAGGGTTTGCCTGGAGGAGTACTAGACAACAGTGGAAAAAAAAGTGAAAGTGGCAATCAATTGAATTGTTTTTGGGATGCCATGTTGAGCCAGACTTTTTGATGGGCCTCTCAGCTTGTATTTGGTTTTTGTTTTCTTGGTTTACATCCTCAACAGATATAACAACTCCAAAATGAATATAAAGCTAATGTTGTGTGCAGAAGTTCAGAACTAAATAGGAGCAGCTGCAGTGCCAATGTAGCCCGAGAGTCAACAAGGTGATCCAGCTCAGCTCCATCACTCTTCTCCTTCGACAGGGTGTGAGCACAGCAGCAGCAGCTGGTGGCCTGAGCTCCGTTCAAACAGTGGAGCCTGCATCATCAGTCCATTGTGTTCCTTAGTGACGCTGATGGAGCACATTAGCTTCGCACACACCTTTTTCTACAAACACAGTGTGTTACGTGTAGATGCAAGAATCCCTGCAGTTGGCCTCAGTCTCAAAGTTGTTTGTATTCCCCTCACAGCCTCCATACCAGAACTGGGCACAGGCGTTAGCCTCAGGGTCATAGTACCACTTGACTTCGTACTGCCGACAGGGACCTGGGTCCAGAGGCTGACTGCATCCTTCAACTGAAATGAAAGGAAGGGCACAATGACTGAGCCGTTTTGCTTGGATTGCCATTGTAACCTTTTTATAGTTAATTCAAGTCTATTATTTATAAAAATACATTGATACCAGTAAAGGTCCTATATTAAATTAAAATTACAGGTTGTGTTTGTGGACCCAATCACTTCCCCCACCCCTCCATCGGAATAGTGTTCAGTAGATAATGAATGAATTTTCATTTTCCCTTTGAACTCCACTTGAAGTAACACTGTGGACTTGCTTCACCACAGAGACGATTATTATTTTGTATATTATTATATTATTATCCTCCTAGTTCCTCCTAGTTCACACAAAATGGAAGTTAACAGGTCAAGAAGGTTTGCCACTGCTACATCACGTATGTGTGAATGGCAATGCTAGAGCCATAGATTGAACAAATTCTAGTGAAAATGCTGCTGAGAAAGTGAAACTGGTGAAACTAATTATTTGCATGCATCATAATTTAATGGGTTACATCCTGGCTTCATGGTATCATGGTATTCCGTGCAGTTATTTTTGCGTAATCCTACAAACTAAGAGAAACAAATATGCAGACACAATTCCTTGACCTGTCTGTTTATCTGGATATGCTTGTTTATCCTTGAATGGCCAATTGATGATTTTTTTGTGTGCACGCTTGTCATTAAGCCTTTTGTTACAAAGGGCTTCTAGTTTATTGTCCTAAATAATTAAAGGCAATTATTTGAGGAAGGAGGTGGCAAGAGTTAGCAAGATCAAAACAAACAAAAGTTTGTTGTTACAGATATGTAATACACACATCATGAGTGTCAAGATGATCAAATATTTGAGAAGCATTAAAGATCTGTGCGATGGCCACTGATGTTAATCAGTTTGAGGTCAGTTCATTTACCTGGAACTGATGCGTCTGTCAGGGGTGTAGGAGAAGGTCTGTTTGGAGCCTGTGTGCTCAATGCATCATGCAGCCATTCATTCGGTGACTGAGGGCCCTCTATTGAAGTCCCCCCAGCACCAGCAGGAGAGGCAAACGTGATGTCTGGAAGCCTGTTCCAGGGCTCCACCAACAGTTCTTTATCAACCAGGTTGTTATCAGGCCACTGTGACTCAGGCGACTGTAGGGTTGGGGCTGTGACTGCTTTCACTGTTTGTTTCCGCTGGGAAGAAAAGGATGAGCTCAGATCAGATCAGACAAACTTAATCTTTATATTCTGAAAGTAAGAAGTGGCATGACATCCTCATGGTACACAGAGGATGGTTTGCAGACCCCTTCTCTTAAATCTGGAGTTAAAATCCAGCCAAATTTCAGCCTTGATAATTCAAAATAAGTGCTTTTTTCAATTTTAGCTCTTAAAAAAAAGGCTAAGGTCCGGACTACTGGCATGTCATGATGACAATGTTAAAATGGAGTACACCATGTTTTAAGTGTTAGTATGTTAGCATTTGCTAATTAGCACTGAACACAAAGTACAGCTGGGGATGTAGGTTTGTACTTCATGTAATAAAAAGAAAATATATATACTAATAAGATTAATCATGGTAGATTTATCACATTTCACATTTCACAAGTGGAAAATCTGATAGAAACTTTGTGGCACATCACTCCAAACTAGAAATGTTAACCTCATGGTGGCACGAGAGGAAAAATCATTGGGTTTTAATGCTTTTAGGGCCATGGGTGTATTTAGTCTCAACAGTTGTGTAACAGTTTTAGTTTTTGAATACTATAATAATAATGATGATGCTTACAGCTATCGCAAGTTGTCAAGATACTTGTGAGTTCTCGTGAGACGAGATCAGCGAGTTGTCACGCGCCCCTTGGACAAGAGCATAGATGCCAGTGAATTTGCACTATTGGGTGAACTATCCCTTTCAGCTAACAAACTCCCACAGACCTGTTGGTCTCCAAGTTGAAGAAGTGGTAAATGGTCTGTATTTATAAAGCGCTTTTGTAGTCTTGATGACCACTCAAAGCGCTTAATGACAGCAACAAGACAGATGCAGGTGCCCAGTTCTGGTTGCAGCTGGACCATCTTCAGTGAAAGTCTTGCTGGTCATAGTGAGTCCCTGTGTAGCTGCGTCTGGTAAATGTGAGGTTGTGTTTCCTGAAAGTGAGCCTGTGTTTTGTAACCAGCAAAAGACTGAGGTTTACCATTTTTTCCACAAGAGATAAAAGCAACATTACTTGTATATTTTCTTCCTCTGAGAACTCTTTGAAATGGGTATCTTCTGGAATGTCAGGGTTGATTTCCACGACTGGAAAAACAGAGTTTGGTAGAAAGGCCATTGTGTCATCCTGCTCACAAATCCGACTTAGAATAATGCTTTCCAGAGCTGTGTGGAAATAAACAAAGGTACAACAGTATAAAAAATATTGTTTGAGGCTGTACTCATCACATAAGATGACAGAGAAAATAATTATAATAGGTGAATAATATACCAAAATAGAAGGGCAGTCAGTCAAGACAAAACTCTACCTCTGCCAAGGCTCAACAGTCCCCTTGTGAAACCACATTTAAACTCACAAGATCTGGAATTTCATTTAGATCTGCACCAAATTCCACACGCACATAGACATTAGTTCCCTAAACATGTTGAATTTGTTTTATTAAGGTCCATGAATTATTCTCTGAAAAATTAAGTTGGTACAGTTTGTAGAATTTAGTGACATCCAGTGGTGAAGTTGCATGTTGCAACTGAATACCGCTCACCTCATCCTCCCCTTCCAAACATGAAAGAGAACCTGTGGTAACCTAGACTTCAGTTGTCATAAAAAAATCAAAAGGTGTTTAGTTTGTAGAGTTTGAACAACTGTTAAAAACATGCCGGCCTCCATCGAGAGGACCCCCTTGATGTAAATATAAAGTACTTAAATATAAAAGCCGCATTCTAGGGTAAAGAAAACAACAATTCAAACAATTTAGATGAAAGGAACTAGTGAAAACATCATAAATAAATTCAATTTCAGCCAGTAGATCCCTTTCACCTAAATCTTACACACTGGACCTTTAAGTAAAAACACCATATCTTGCAAATTTAAACAAAGTGCAAAAAAAAACCTGACCTATACCTTCCAACAAGTTTCATAGTAATATTTCTAGTCCAATCCTGCTACCGGATAACATAACCTCCTTAACAGAGACAACTAACAAACATAGAAACACAAAAATTATGTGTTTTACTTGTTTGAAAAGTTGTCAGTAGCAACATCTAAAGTGATCAGTGTGATAACATGTTGTCAAACTAGTGTGAGATAGACCTATTTCATCTCTCAATCAGAAGTGATTAGTAGGGGTATAAATAGGGGAATACCATCCTCTTCAAACCAAAATGACCAAAAATGTATCCCCCCTGATAACCTGTCAATCCGAACATCCCCTCTCAGCCATTGCACAATTCTCTATGTAAGAATGCTATGTGTGCAGATAGAAATTTTGTGCATGCAGGTGAGCATCCTTTAATTAGAGCTGCTGACTAAATCATGGGTTCTGCAGCTCTGCACTTGTTTAAACCGAATAGCATCAAACAGGAGGATGGCTCTCCTTGCCTCTCCTACTCTTTCCCTTTCTTATTCTGTCTCTCTCTCCCACATAAAGACACTGATCATCTGCCACAGTCAGACTGACCATCAGCAACCTGCAACAGTGGCTGTTAAAACATCCGTAATGATTTTTACCGTTCTCTGCAGGCAGGATTCAGCATGAACTCACACACACACATACACAAACGGGTGAAAACTGTAACATGTATGCAAAATATTTTCCTGTTTTAAAATCAATCAATGCACAGCAGTAATCTCTAACTGAGTAACATATCACAACTAATATAAAGTTGTTTAAGGCTGTTCTGTATGGGCCACTTCTCTCCACACCAATGTTTTAGGAGGTAGAGCAAGTTGTCCACTAGGTCTGTGGTTCAATTCCGAACCTGAGGTTTTGAGTTTGACTCCCAGAATGCAGACTTATTTCTGGTGTAGTTGTTTATCTGATCTCCCACAATATGTCTTATTGAGAAGATTTAGTACTTAATACTTACTTCAAGCACTCATAATATGAGGTGAAGCTTTGTGCTGTCCCCTAGCTGTGACTAAATGCTTTAAATTGAGGCTGACACCTAAAATATTTTTCTGCATTGAAACATGAACCTGTCAGCCATCTCACATGGAAGAGATGATGTTAATTAAGAATTTGTGTTTTGACACTGAAAGTGTTTACTTACTGTGAAGACTCCTGAAGTCATCTATAAAGTAGACATGCATTTCATCAGGCTCAGAGGCAATAACATTCATCTCAGCCTGGAAATCTTCATACAGAGGGTCAGTCTTGCTCATGACTCCCACAACAAACATCTCAATTCCCTCATAGTGGGCCTCTATGGCTGTTTCCTCAAACTGCATGATGTCGCGGTGGTCAGCCAGCCCGTCAGTTATAACAACAGCCACTTTCCTCACACCAGGTCGCGAGGCCCGGAATAGCTGGTTGGCTCGGTGGATGGCGCTGCCAGTAAAGGTGCCCTCACCCAGGTAGGGCATCCTCCTGACGGCGGCCTTGATGTCTTCTTTACTGTTCTGCTGCTGCAGACTGGCCACCACCATGTCCACGTGGCTGTAGAGCACTACGCCTATCTGGCTAGCCTCAGTGCTCACCGACAACGGGTCAATAAGAGCATTCACAAAGTCCTTCACCAGCTCAAAGTTTTCTGGTCCCACGCTCTCCGAGCTGTCGATCACAAACACCAGCTCCAGAGGCCTCTCTCTGCACTTCAGACCACAGCCTGGACAACAAACAGAACAGATACAAGCACATTACAAAGCCATGCAATATGCACCGCTATATCTCTATACAGCTTATAATAGTACCTAGTGGATATAGATAGGGGAGAACAGGGTAAGATGATCCACTTTTTACATTTGATGATTTTACTGCAAAACAGAAGTGTATTTGTTTTTAAATAATAATTACTATTTATATACCTCAGGTTGTTGTGTACCCATGGAATTTAAAACAAGTTATCTATTTATTGCAGAACAATGACCCAAGGTGGGGGTAAAATGTTCAGAGTGATGGGGTAAATTGGGCCCTCTATGGGTAAATAATGGGTAAATAGTGCCACCATTAGAAACTGATCTAAAAATGAGACAAAATCCATGCCATCAATTTAACAAAGGCAAAAATGTCTGCATGTGATGAATGCAGTGAACAATGACTGTCCATTGGCTAAATTTACCTCCACATCTCTAGCTAGTTTTACCCCACAACCACCATTTTGACCAAACTGTTTCACACAGTAGCTCAAATCAACAGTTATGCTACGTTTATTTTCTTGTTTTGTAGCTCACAATTACTTAAAATAACATGTAATAATGTCAAAAACATTTTTAATGAAGATACAAGACTGATAACTTTAGTAACATGATGAATTCACTTTACATGACAAAAAAGTGTTTTTTTGCTTTGGTTTGCTTTCCACTCTCCATGTGCTTGGGTCAAAGTTGGAATGTGACTTTGTGGTCACATGACTCCTTTTTTTATGGTTACCTAGATACAGGAGGTGGCTCATCTTACCCACTGGCTTGACTTACCCTGTTCTCCCCTACACAACAAATATTGCCAATAACCCATATTCAAAAGTCTTTTTTAATCATTTATATTCATTTATATCATAAGATGATTATAATCATATATATGCTAAGCAAAACAAAAGCGTACTAATGATTAAGAAGTAAACTGCTGCAAAACTTGATAAAATGTGTGATTTACCACAGATTTCTCTTATTATTCTGATGACCTCTTCTCTCTGTGTATTTAAAAAAGGAGATGAAAAAAATTGGTATTCAATTTTAATGTTAAAATATTCAACTCAGTGTCATTTGTGTCAGTCGCTGTACTCACTGTCAGTCCTGGTTCACCCTTTTCTCCAGGTCTCCCCTGTAATTAGACTCGGATTAGGGAGTATAATGATAGCAATGTTTTCTCTTATTTTTGAGATGGGACATGCTGTGTTACCATTTGTCCAGCAGATCCGGGTTCTCCATAGTTTCCCTTGTCTCCTTTCTTTCCCCGGTTTCCAGGAATGCCTCTATCACCCTGTGTGTGTTTGTGTGTGTTTGAGAGAGGATTCTCCATTACAGCAAATGATGAATACTGATAATCTAAGCCAATATGTGACAGGCCAGACTACCATTGGCACATGTACTGGCTGTATTGTTTGTACCTTTTCCCCTATGAGGCCATCCCCTGGTGCCCCACGAGGGCCCGCTGGTCCTTGAAACCCAGGCTCTCCCTAAGAATAAAGATTGACAAATTGGTGATATCATCAGATATGAACAAATCCTAAAATCCTGTCCATAGAGTGAAATGACAAAGACTGATTGATTTGGCAAACTTTCAAGACAAAGGGATCAGCATGGTCAACTCTGCTGTAGCAAGGTGCTACTCATCAAAAACTCAGCATTATACAGCTGGAATAAATTTGGCACTGTCTTGACTGACATTATAGCCTACTAGTACTGTCAAGTGTTGTCTCTCGCCCACCTTTGGACCCTGGCTGCCCTCTCCTGGAAGTCCTGGGAGGCCTAATGGACCAGGCTGCCCTGAAGAACCCTGGAAATTCAATGCATTGCAATAATTGTCAGGATGTGATGTTAATAACATTATCATATGCAGAGGAATTGGTTTACAAAAAGAGAAACTATTCATCTTCCTCATACTATATGTACACTCACTGACCTTTGGTCCATAAAGTCCTGGTCCTGGAGGACCTGATGGGCCTGGGACCCCAGGTAAGCCTCTGTCACCCTGACACACAAAATAAATAGAGCAAACTCATGATTTTTGCTTTGTTGGATGCAGAAGCTGATGTCCAAACCTATTAAGACACTGTAAGATATGACCATTGTATACAAATATTTCACAATTGTTAAATGTAGAATGTTAAATGTCAACACTTCTCATCAGTAAATATGCTTCTGAGAGTTTGGAGGCACCCTTCACTTCACCTTATGAATTCAAAAATTAGAATTTTGTCTCACCTTAGATCCAGGTAGTCCTTTCCCATCGGCTCCTGTCTCTCCTTGCACTCCCGGTAAACCAGGCAGTCCCTGATGAGGACAAGATGTTCATTCATAATCCTTTTTATCTTAAACATTGAAGACAAATCTAATTAAATTGTACCTGTTTCCTCTTACCTGTGGTCCTGGGACTCCATCTCCCTCCATCCCTGGTGGCCCCACAGGCCCAGGATTTCCTTTATTACCCTAAAATAAGGACAGTAACAATATTGTCAGACACAAACACAACCACCTGAAGGTGTGTATAGTGCACATTTAATTTAAAGTAACCGCCTGGGAACAATCCATGAAAGATGGTATTAAAGTGTTTACATTTACATACAGGTATGGAAAATCCACCTTTTTCATAAAATGTAATTGTGTATTGATGCGTGATACAGCATATTGATAAAGTATAATAAGTAAAAACATGTTTTTATGTTACCTTTGGGCCAATAATTCCCATTCCAGGTTCTCCCACAGGTCCAGTTGGTCCTACAGGTCCAGGATCTCCCTGTTATTTAGGAGAAGAAAATAACAACAACTCGAATCACAATTATTGATGATAAAGGAAACTGACCAAAAACTAATGCTCAAAATATGAGCAATTACAAGTTATTCATTTATTAACCACATTGAAAAAAATATTGAAATGTTTCATGTTACAGTTCAGGACACAAGTATTTTACATACATTGTTATGGCTGTATTGATTTAAAAGCCCAATAATGCAGTAGGTCCAACAGACTCGTGAATATCGGCTGAGTAACAAAATCTTGAACACCAAGGGTTGAAGGGTATCTCCATAATGATCAACACACATGAAAGTGAAGGTGAGCAGTACTATGATTTACTCTAAACCCTGGGTGCATAGAAAAACTGTGGATGGGTGCCTGCTTGCATGCGCATGTGTATGAGCTCCTGTTGTAATGGGTGTCGTCACCTTTGGTCCTGGAATGCCACGACCAGCAGGTCCAGAATTGCCTGTCATTCCTGGACTCCCAGGTTCTCCCTGAACAACAGCATCAGTAAAATGTCAAACATTATTGAAGAATTTTTCATTTACAGTAAAATGTAAAAACATCAATCTGATGTGCCTGTTCCATTTGATTTTAAACTTCAGAAGTTTTATGGGAACATGCTTTATTAAATTGTGGATATCCAACCTCCAAGACCCTTCTGTACACGACCTGATCTAAGACCTAGCTCTGTGTTACAGTGCCAGCTACTTTATCTGAACCTAATCTCAGCTGAGTACCTGAGAATGTTGATTTACCACAGCAAACACATTGTGTGAGCCTAACAGTGCTTAAGAGTAACTTGTATTTAACAGACCTTAGCACCAGCAGGGCCCATAGGGCCTGGAGCCCCTGAGAGTCCCCTTGGTCCACGGTCACCTCTATCTCCCTGTGGAGGAACACACACACACACCCAGTCAGTTATTCTGAAAGGTAAATAGGTAATACAAACTACATACTATGCATTTATCGTCAGTGAAGCCATTTCCAGGAATGCAAATATGTACCTTTTACACCTGACTCTAACTGTTTGCTTATGTTCAACAGATGTGACTCAGAATAAAGCAATATTTGTTTTTGTTGGACAAACAGCAATCAGGATATCCTCTAGGATTCTGCGATTACATTCATTGGGCAGAAGCTGCAATGTGGGTAATGAAAGATTACCTTTTCTCCAGAGAAACCTTTCCCTGGTGCTCCTTCTGATCCTCGCAGACCTGGCAACCCCATCTCTCCCTGGATTAGACAACATGGCATCAAAGCATTAAAAAAAGACATTTCATAGTGAATCACAAGCTACTTATTGAATATAGAAGTCCAGTGATGGGGCATAATGCAGAGAGGGAATGGAGTGGAAAGTGTCACGTAGCAGAATAACTGATCATAACTAATACATTAGTCTGCACTGTACTGAAATACTCTTTCAATCCCACTCACACACTCAACATGGGAAACAGGTTGAAATCCTTCTTCATTTTTTTATACAAATAGTTATGAGAATTTCTGAACACCTTTTTTTTTTATATTGAGCATTTTAGTTAGGCCCTTTAGACATATCACATGACATATTAGGGATGTGCATATTAAAGGTTCAGTGTGAAGGATTTAGTGATATCTAGTGGTGAAGTTGCATGTTGCAGCTGAATACCCCTCACCTCATCCACCCCTTTTAAACATGAAAGAGAACCTGTGGTAGCTTCAGTTGTCATAAAACCTCAAAAGGCGTTTAGTTGGTCCAGTTTGGACTACTACCAATAGATCCCTTTCACCTTAACCTTGCACACTGGTGTCTAAACTGCAAATTGGACCTTGAAATTTTGCAAAATGTGACCTCAAGTCACTTGCTCACCTTAGGTCCAGCAGCTCCATCCTCCCCAGGTATACCAGGTATCCCAGCAGTCCCATTAGGTCCTGGCTCCCCCTAGAAAACCATGCATACATAGACTCAGTGTGTTCCATTTGATCTTGTGTTGAACATGTCACATTCAAGAAGAGTTTGCTTGTTTAACCTTTGGTCCTGGTTCGCCAACACCCCTCTTCCCCTGAGGTCCAGATTCTCCAGGGAAACCCTGGTCACCCTGGAAAACAACACAAATTACTGACTGAACGTCATCACACAGAAAGATGCAAACTGTTGCGTTTACTGGTCAAGAAGGGCAGGTTAATCTTACAATTTAAAGGGAAACAACAAAAAGAAGTCCCCAGGTATTTGTATTTGGAAAGAAAAATGAGGGCAAATAGTCAAACGTTTACCAAATTCTCCTTTGTACAAATCTACCATCATTTGCAGACAGACAGTTTTTTTCAACCTAAGCCTACTGTATCGTAGCTGTGTGAGTTTTACTGTGCAGTCAGGGATTATTTCTCACATTTAGATGAACCTTTATTTCCCATTTACCAGTTTACTTTCAGTGTGAGTGATTCTGTTGCTTTGTTGAGTACAGTGATGAAGTAAAGTATTAGTAATTGTGAAGGTCTTGTTGATTAAGGCTGGAGTTGCTCTTGAGCTGAAATGTTCTCATATTAAGCATATATAGGTTCTCTAATGAGGTTCTCTAATGAGAATGATACAAATTTTAATAACAATATAACAAGGACTATTTTTTATTGTATGCACCCAAAACAAAAAATATCAAGTTTTGCCTCCTTTGAGTTTGTATACTTTGTATAATTACTTATTTACTATGGTCAATTTAAGTACATCTTTGAGCTTTTTGAGTTTTTCATGTAACAGAGTATTTTAATATTCTGGTATTACTCGTTTTACTTTCAGTACACAAAGGATCGGAGTATTAGCTAGCCTTAGCCACCATTATCTATTGGTCATATCAGATCACATGAGGTTGTGGCAAGAAATGTGTCTTTATTTCTTCTGAATCTGAAACTTTTGCATTATGCTGTATGTGTACTGTATATTACACATGAAAGTCTATTATGGATTTAAAGCTTGTTTTACATATCACTGCTCCTCTTGGACTAACCTTTGGTCCAACTATACCAATTCCAGGAGGCCCTCTGGGCCCAGAAGGCCCTGTGGGCCCTTGGTCCCCCTAAAGCCAGAGATAAAAATCAGAATTTAATAAAAACAGGACAAATAATAAATACAAATTCCTGTCATTTTCATTGGCCTTGCCTTTTCTCCTTGTATGCCTGCCCCTGGAAACCCCACCAAACCTGGAAGTCCAGGGGCTCCTGTATTTCCCTAAGGGTTGGAAAATGACAGGTCAGACAGGTCATCCTTTACAGCTTCACAGGATTGCAGCATACATGTGTCTGTGATCCCAACCTCATTAAACTCTGAACCATACCTTATCACCTTTGTAACCAATTCCTGGAGGTCCACGACTTCCCTTAGGACCCTCATACCCCCTGTCACCCTATAAACACAGAAGGATCTTATGAGTCAACAACAGGTCTCCAGAGACTATTACATTTCTCTGGTGAATTGTATCAATGTCTTAGAACCTACATTGGATCCTGGGAGACCCTCACCGGGAAATCCTGGAGATCCTTGCATCCCTGGTGGCCCTACTGGACCCTATAATCACATCAGCATTATAGTTAATAGTAAATACTGAATTAACAGATATTACATTTGCTGTCACTCTATGTATAGTAAAATTAGATTGTTAAAAATCCAAGGTGACTCATTGTAATATGTTAGAGCAATAGTGTTGCTAAGTACACACACTATTCCAGTTTTCTGTTCTGCAATAAAACTGAGAAGACACCTTGTGGTATTAAACCACATAGAGCAGATTTCATATTTTCACATGAGGCTATGTGATAGCTGATACAATTTCATATTGGTTTTAATTTGAAGGTTTATAATGTTAATAACAATAAGTAACAGTTGGTAATACTATTTACTGTATATATAATGTTTCTTAGGTTGTGATTAAAGTATTTCACCTATATGAACAGTCCCAGTAGTTTCACTCACCATCATCCCTGGTTCACCTACACCCACTGGTCCAGGTGGACCTGGTCTTCCCTGGTTCCCCTTGTCACCCTGAAAAATAAAGTGTACAGATTAGAGTTAAAGTGAGGATTATACTGGACAGACATTGGCCTTCCTGTGCATGAGTACAAAGAAAACATGCCTTATTTATTCCAATACCTAACATAAAATGTACCTTGGGACCAGGGAACCCGATGCCATTATCTCCTGGAGGGCCAGGTGCACCCCTTGGTCCTCGTTCACCCTTTAAAGGAATGGGGAAACAAACTTGAGGAACATGCCCATAGCTTTAACCTTTGAATTCAGTGAATCACTTCATGCATTTTAACCATTGGTTGCCAGCCATCTTACTTTAGAGCCAAACGGCCCCTCCGGACCCTGGTCTCCATGTCCTCCCACGTCTCCCTGGCAGTTGCAAGAGACAAAAGAGATAATAAATGTTTTTGATTCAATAAATACCATTACATAAAATATTCAAGATATTATAATGAGTATAACTACATTATAATGTAAGACATTTAAAATAATTGGCAGACATTGTCTTTATTACAGAGTTAAGAAAACAGGTGATGTGAGATATTGTTGCTTTTCCTTTTTCTTCAGTGAAAGTCAGTTCCTCGTTCTTGTTTCTCTCTGGGAAGTGACTGTCTTCTCTATCCCACTATGACCAACTAGCTGTTACTTGAAGGACTAACAGGAATGAACCCTGGTGCCTGAAGTGGGTTCAGACAGACAATATTTTACATTCATTTCAAACTAGGGAGTGTTCAAACTGGGGCTGAGCATGTTTTCATTTAAATGTAAAATAATTCACGAGATACTTCTTTGAGGTGTAAGTCACTGAGATGAACACTGGTGAGTGTGACTGCCCTCTGCTGGAGTCTCAGAGGAGCTTTTATGAACGTCTAATTCACATGAGATTTCACATTAAAATTATAGTTTCAGATGTAAAAAGATCCATAGAAATGCAACATTGCATCATGATAGAGAAGCAGATATGCTTRATTTCACTGTATTATTATTTGAATGTTTATGTGAATATTTTCTGTCATAATCATGGTAATAATAATAAAATAATAATAAGTAACAAAGTGCTTTACAACAAAGAATATAAAACTCTCAAACACTGATACAAACAAGATACAGATAAAGTCATAGACATCAAGATGTGTCTTAAAAAAGCGATAAAACAATCTTATCTTGTTCCAAAGTGTAGGGCCCTCATGACAAAGGCTGTGTACAGGATGACATGTGCTTAGATTTTTGCCAAATTTCCAACATTGCTGATATTTCAAATCAGTCCGAGCTGACAAATGCCTGACTCATGTTGACTCAAGAAAACCCTAGGAAGTAGACAGTTCTGCCACGCTCTGTATCAGAGGCTAAACCTGGCACCTAGAAAAAGTTGGATTTGGAATATAGGAGTTTTTCATGGGAACTGGAGAGCAATCAAATGGATGAAAAAAACTGATGGGACACTGACGATGGCTGCTGGGGGCAACAAGCATTTAAGGAGAGAGGGAATGGATAACGTGCCCAAATCCTAATCCACTAGAACAACGTCTGCTCAAAGACCACAACCATTGCATTCCCCGCTATAGAAAGGCAACATTAGGAAGGGGATAAAACCTAATCCACAGCTCACATTCCACAAGTGCAGAGCAGGAGATGGATTTGGAGTGTGTGGTTTGCACCGGAGCACTGATTGTTGCAGTCTGGATATGAAGGCGGGCACACAGGAATCTTTTAATTCGACCACACACCCATTTAGATATGAACATTCATACACTGAATTATCTTTCATTTTTATTTTAAAACATGGCTGCTTCATAGGTGTGCTGCACCATGGTAATATCTGGCTTTATACCAACACTGAAGGTTGTTGCCAATGGCGTCACACACCTATTTCAAAAAGAAAACCCCCTAAAAGTCTGACTACGTCAGCCTACTGATTTCAATGAATATTAACTACACACTCTTTCATGATAATATCTCAAAGGATTAGTTTGATATTTTGGTAAATGTGTTATTCACTGATAAGAAGACTGTCAATGTCATGTCTGAGTGTTCAGTACAGAGCTAGAGTCAGGATGATGGAATCCTAGCGTAGCTTAAAGAGACTGGAGGCAGGGTCTGTGGACTGTATGTCAATGAGTTTATCAAAACTGAAGTAATGGCATTCACAGTGTACTGTGTTCAGATATCTGTGTGGAACTATCATTAACCAACGCTCAAAATTAGGCCAAGCCATTCAATATGCACTATATGTGCACAATATGAAAATTACCTGTTCTCCTCTGGGGCCTCTGGGGCCAGGAGGTCCATCTGTACCCTAAGGAAAAATATATCATACTACTTTTACACACAGTATCAGAACAGTCACCCAGACAATAAATTAAAAATGGATAAATAAATAAACCTACTTGTTCTCCCTTTGTACCAGGGGCACCACATTCCCCTTGTTCTCCCTGAAGAATATGAGCAGTAAGGTTACAGGTAAGTGAAGCTTAAAGCAACGTCCCAGCAATGTGGACAATGTGAACCGAATCATTCCATATTTCCAAATCATACAGACAATCAAATACATTTTTTGTGTTAAAGAATTATAATGTATAGAATGTATAATCTTTGCTGTGATGAGATTATTTCATGTTATAATTATCATTAAACATCAATCCATACCTTTTCCCCTTTGCTTCCAGTTTGACCCTATTAAAATGGAAAGATTAAATTAAATATTCCAAAAGTTTACATCAGACAGTTGAAAACCTTTTTAATGTCTTCTTATGCAAGTCTTTGTATAGAATCATCCAGACCCCAGAATAAACCCACTCAGTTCATGGTCATTTTAGAGGCTGCACTTGATGGTGCTGTTGAATTGCACTGTGTTGAATAAACAACCATATTCATGTCATTTATATCCACATATTTATTCATATTAGTAAGGAATGGCTAAATAACAGTAAAATACATCTCAGTGGCATCTGAAATCCTTCATGGTCTTGGATGCAAGTTTATACCTTTGCCTCATTTAGTATTCAATAATCCTTAAAATGCAAATTGTACCCCAGTCACTACCTCCACATACTTCTGACCTGCTCCACAAACACAAAAAAACCCACAATGCTTGATTTCTGTTTTGTGACTGTATTTTAAACTATGGCAAGTGGTATTGGAGTGATTCAGGCAACCACGATGGAACCGTAAATACACTAGATATACATTGGTCCTGATCAGCTTGTAAAATACTGATAATAAGTATTTAACCCTAACCCTAACCCATTTATTAATATCAAAATATTACAAATATGAATTTATGAATATATGGAAATCTAGAGTTCAAGTTCTGTCTGAAAATTAAGGCGTTCCATCAAATTTAAACGTTTAGAAGAAAAATAAAGGAGAAAACATTTCCCAGAATAATAATGGTTAGTCATCATATTCATGATTTAGTCAGCCCTGTTTAAACTTCCCAAGCACAGGGGGCAAATGCATATGCTTAGTTTTTGTCCAAATCTTCTTCACTTCTTCGCTATCTGAGGCACATGGTTCAAAAGGGTCTCACTTATATTCTTTAAGGGATAGTTCACCCAAAAATGAAAATTGAGTCATTATCTACTCACCACTATGCTGATGGAGGGGCGGTGAGGTGTTTGATTCCGCAAAAAACTTCTGGAGTCTCAGAAGTAAACTTTGTAGCAGCTGAATACGATACATTTGAAGTAACTGGTGACCGAGACGTCAGACGTAATAAAACACAACATGGCTCTATACTACTCCTGTGGTGTCATCCAACTGTCCGCAAGCCCCGACATTCATATTCGACTTGAAACGAGGTAATTTACACCATGTTTTTAGCCTAAAAGTCCACTGATATCTCCCTATAAGGTGCATTCATGGACCTTTATATTTAAATACTTATATATATTTACATGGAGCCTCTCTGTGGAGGCTGCCATGTTTTGAGTTTTTATGACAACTGAAGTTCACCACAGGTTCTCTTTCATGTTGGGAATGGGAGGGTGAGATGAGGAGTATTCAGCTGCAACATGCAACTTCACCTCTAGCTGTCACTAAATTCTACACACTGAACCTTTAAAACACGGTGTAAACGACCTTGTTTCAAGTCTAATATGAATTTTGGGGCTTGCGGACACTTGGATGACACCACAGGTCTTTTATGTTTTGTTTTTTTGTTGTTTTTTACATTGAAGAATTGTATTGGATTTGGCTACAATGTTGTTTACCCCTGAAACTCCAAAAGTGGTTTGTGGACTCTAACACTTCACCCACGCCTCCATCGGCATAGTGGTAGTAGATACTGAGTGGATTTTTATTTTTGGGTGAACTATTCCTTCAAAAGGTTGACTTTAATCAATTTGGAGCTCCCACTGAGCTTCTCAAAAGAGAATGTACCTAAACTGATATGACAGCTTGAAAACCCTGTAACCCCAGCAGAAAAAAACATTTGACGCTCACCTCAAGGCCCTCCATTCCTGGACGTCCATTATTACCAGCTTCCCCCTACAGTGACCGAGCCCAGATAAAGCAGTACATCAAACAACACTTCATGGATTCTTTATGTTACCAGCACGGATTACAGAGACAATAGACACTTACACGAGATCCCTTTGAGCCAGACACTCCATCTGAGCCCTGCTCCCCTGGTTTCCCCTAGATGAAAGTACAGGGAGAGATTGCGCAGAATGAGAATATTTGGGCCCCTTTTCACTATGGCCTCTGTGTGTGTATAGGCAAAGGTGAGGTAGGGTATTCTCAGTGCGACCTGTCTGTAACCCCGGTCCAACATAAACCACTACCTCGGGTTCTCAGATCATCGCAGCCTGTGTGTTTGCTCAAGCTTAATCTTCCATCCTTGACCTTAGCTGTTTTCCAAGGGCCTCTCTTCAGTAGCTCTACCAGTGAAAACAGCCCTCCAGCTGGCCCTCTCGCCACCTGCTACACTTGCATTGTGGGAAACATTTCCTGCTCTTCCACATCTTTTCGCTTTAGTGCTTTGGATGCAGGCCAGACACACCTGCTGGCAGAGGCTGCTGGCCTGAGGGCAGGAGAATGCCTGGCTGTGCAGGGATAACTAGCCACCATGTAAGACTTATAGGGCTCTGTGTGACTTAGGAAGTGATCAAGTACAGATATGATTTCCCTTTTTTACACAGTGTGCACTATTTTTATGACAGACTCCAAAATCTGCACATTATTGGTCCAAATCACTACTTTAACATTTACTTGAATGAGAAAGGCCCTTTGCAGACCTGGTTGTAACATCTGTAAATACGATCTCATAATCTATTGGCAATGATATTCATGAACCACCACAAGGACAAATGTTTCATTTTTTTAACCCAGTAGTGTTCCTGTCCAAACATCAACCATATTATCTGTAACTCCTTCCTATCCAACACATTCACACTGCATGATGTCATGAGAAATCCCATCTTGTAGAACAGTGGTTCTCAAACTTTTGACACCATGTACCACCTCAGAAAATATTCTCCAAGTACCACTGTACCAACATTTAAATACAGTAGCGTAGATCTACAACTATTCAGCTACAGACAGTTCAGAGGAAGGTTTGTTCCTACTAAGACAATTATTAATTGTTGACTGAGCCACACTGTACAAAGTTGTAGAACTAAAACTGGTACTTGAACACTTCCACACTTTACTGTGGAAAACTTCAGTGATCACGTTTGCCCGAGTTAAATTCATCATTATGAGTAGTAGATAATATAAAAGAATTGTGAAGCTTAATAATGATGACAGAACCTGAGTCTCTCTCTCTCTCTCTCTCTCTCTCTCTCTCATGACCCGCTACAGTTAGAAAGTTTGTTTGTTGCCACAATATCAACACTGATCATCACATAATGATCTATACTTTTATTAATGAGTTAGTCTTTATTCAGAGCAGCGCATTCATCAGCCGTCAGGCTCGCTCTCTTTCTCTCTTCCTCTCTCACACACACACACATATACACACACACACACACACACACACACACAGACACGTGTATAAACTCAGTCTGAGTAAAACAACAGTCTTTGTAAACTTAGTGAATGAATGAAGCTGGAGGAGATGGCGGCGTGCTCTGTTTTGTTTGACACCATTGGCTGCTGAAAACTGTAAAAAAATAACTTTTCACAGTCCAAACATGTATGAAAAGACCCCACATTCACACTGCAAGTGGAAATAGTGGAGCTGTGCATGGCTCCCTGGTGTCTGCCCCAACTTGCTGTTAGTGGCCACTTTCAACATGGCTGCTCAAAATATTATCTTCCTGATACGGTCTTATCTTCCGAATAGTACCTGTTCGTAGCCACGATTTTTGAACCGTCAATTTCATAATAATAATATTATAATATTTCTGAGATTGTTCGTGTACCATTAGAGAGAGCTTGCGTACCACTGCTGGTACGTGCACCATAGTTTGAGAACCACTGCTCCAGGGGGAAGTTGAGGGCCTGAACACATTAGTCTTGTCATCAAAGAAGATCATTAGCAAACACTATTAGGTTTATGCATCATTCACTGTAAAGTGATGTGGTTCCACACATCAAATAAAAAAAATTAAAAAACACAATACAAGATCTGCAATAATACATGTGCATTACAGGACTAGTGAGTAAATTCAAATAATCATAGGAATATAGTGTGGGTTGTCACCAGAGATCTGACACTCTGCATTTGTATCAAGTGTATATAAAGTGTAGTGTATTTAAACAGCATAGAATTATTCACATCAACACTATATGACTCACCGGAGATCCAGGGGGACCCCTTTCCCCCTTTTCACACAGGCAGGTCTTTGGATGTGGGCACTGAAATACAAATATAACAATCAATCTGAACCAAAGCCAACACTGTGCATTATTCCACACAGAAATAAAACAAACTAAACTAAACATGACATGAAGAATTAGCACTAACATTGAGACACTAGAATCAAGTAAATAAATAATATCAGGGAGGATATTTTTAATGAAAGTCATATCACTTACCCCAGTTTTCACAACCGTGTTCTAAAAGAAACAAATAAAAACATAATTAATTAGCAGTTACTTCTATTGAGTTCTGAATGCAAAGCAAAAAGTCTTGTATTAGCAAAACCTCATATTTAGCTATTTATTTTACCCTTTGGAGTTCAAACAAATACAGTTTAATATTAGGCTCTTTGACAGCATTTTGTCATTGCAGAAAATCTCAGGTCTTACAAATAACATTAACAGTGGCTCTGTTGTTTTAATATGTCCCAGGAGACTGACACCACTGTCCTTGAATAAAGGGTCTCCTCCAGGAGCCTCGTAGCTTCACACATAATGACTGAGAACATGGGGAATCAGCCTGGTCCACCAACAAGGAACTAAGCTCATTATCTTTACTCATCATGATTAAATTAGAGGTTAACTGATAATTAAAAAAAACTTACCATATACCTAAATGCATGATGTTTCTGGACAAAGCCAAGAGTCTGTCCAATAATCCCCAGATGACATGTGTCATTTTTACACCTTAGTTTTTTTTAAGGTTTCAACAAATAGGATACAGCTGCTTCAGAAAGAATTCAGACCCTGTCACATTCTGCTCACATTGTGCTTTAGATTCATTTTAAAGGGATAAAACTGCTGTTTAGGTTGATAAACCTACTGAACACACACTTATATTGACAAAGTGGAAACATCTTTTAAATTGAATTGATTGGACGTATTTGCAGGGAATAGAGTTTCTGATGTATATATAAATATATTTTTGCTTCACTCGTCTTGTCCGAGACCTGCAGGTAAGCGATATATATTTGGGACTTCACTTTAATCATTCCGTCACTTTTGTGCAGGCACCTTGTGTCCCTAAGGATTGTAGTTAGTGGTTTCCCCCCTTTAGTGAGGCAGAGGATTACACTGTTAAACTCTGCTCTTAGTTTCAGGCATATGGTGGGAAAATCTGCTGTCTTGAAGCAGAATTGAAGATCTTTGAAGTAGGCTTTAATCAAATTGGTGAAACCTGTTGCTGTGGATATGTGCCGCGAGATGATAGGGGGGGGCAGCCGTGAAGAAGCTGCAGACAGTCCCACTCTCGAAAGTCACAGTGAGTCGGCAAATTTTAGAAATGGCTTCGGACATCCAGTGTCAGGTTGTGGAAAGAATTAAAGGCAGCCCCTTTACAACTAGAGGAGTCCATCGATGTTAGTAGTGACGCATTACTGATGGTTTTTGTTCGCTATCGTTGGGAAAGTAGTCTGACTGAAGACTTGCTTTTCTGTGGAGAGCTAAACTATATATACTGTATATTACAGGGAGTAGAGTTTATATATATTTATATAGAGAGAGTTGGGATTTGGGAATATGGGCTATCCAAATAAAATTAGATTGATTGATATTTTTCAGGTTTTGTGAAAGTATTCTTTCCATACTGGATTTGTTTGTTCACATTAATGTCAGGGTGACACATGAGGAGACACATGAACACACACAACTGACCAGTTCCCTGAAGAGTCTGTCATCCAGCTGGTTGTCTGTGAGGCTGAGAACATGTTGCTGTGGGGGAGCACTGGCAATGGAGCGGAGCTTTGTAACCATGGGCCCATCCTTGGTCAGGCCCGACATCCTGATGACGAACACCCTGATGCTGTGCTGTTTGGCCTCGGCAGCAGCTGCCACTGCGCTGGGGCTACGAGGATGGTCCGTGCCATCCGTCATCAACAGCGCCACCCGCAGGCTGCTGGAGGAGGTCTCGCGACTGAAAACCTGGGTGGCGTTGGTGATGCCGTAGGCGGAGTAGGTGCCATGGCCGATGAAGGTCATGGCGGCCACTCGACTCTGGAACACATCCACATCCTGCCAGTCTCTGAAGTTGTGCTCCACTGAAACCGTGCTACTGTACTGCAGAGCAGCCAGCCGCAGCCGCAGCCGCCAGCCGGCCGAGTGGAGCTGCGCAAGCTTGGTGCTGAAACGCAGGATGAACTCCTTCTGTCGCTCAAACAGCAGAGCTTTGGCTTTCTCTGAACTGTCCACAATGAACATAATCTCCACTGGGCAGATCAGGCCTAGACAGCAAGTTAACACAGCAGAAAAAGTTAGGCTCCATTGTTCCAGATCGCTATGAAATTTGGCAAGAATTATAAAGGTGAACAGAGAATTGCTGCAAATATACCACTGGGTTAACTACGAATTGGAATATTATGGTTCTGTTGAGATCAGCACATATTGTATATTTATGATAAGTAACATCTCATTTGAAATGTTAGTTGTAAAAATTATATCTATCAATAGATTTACTGTGTCATCATCAGATTTTTGTATTGTAACATATGAAAACAAGCTCGAAAGGCTCAAAAGTTCATCATTGGATATATTTTATGTTTTATGCAGGTGACTGTATTTAATATGTCACTAGCTATAATTGTATATATTTGCAATCAAACATGCTTTTTTTATGTGAAGATGCATAATGTTTGTCAGTGACCTATCTGTGTGTCAGTATGTGTATTAAATGTTATTTACTATTGTGTACTGTCTTGAAAAAAGATACAGATCTCAATGTGTAAACCTATTTAAGCAAAGGTTTAAAACATTGTTAGTGGCTTACTACTTTAAGTTGTATATACAGTTATTATGAAAGTGTTAATATTTGCCACAGTTTATGAAATTATTTGTGTCACATGTTGCAGCATATATTTTTTAAATGACCTGTGAATGTCAACATTTCTATGAGACTGAACTACTGGGACTGGGACTACAATAACTGCTGAATCGTTTAACAGACACTTAATACTTAACAAAAGACGCAAGGTTTACAGTTCAGATTTCTATAAGTTTATCAAGTTTAGTACCTAACCTATTCAACCTGTTCAATCAATTTCTATGCATGAGCACTGCATCTTTGAATTTAGAACAATGATATATTTCACTTACTTTTGGCCTCGTGAATGATGATCTGGTTTCCCTCTCTCTGTGCCTTCCTCCTTTTACTTTGGCATAAGGTTGAGTGTGAGAGGATCAACATGACGATGGAAACCTTCAGCCCTAACTGTAACCACGGCATGGTCATTCTTCAGTCCAGCGGCTCAGACTGTCAGAAGGAGAATGACAGGAGAATCAGTAGCACACAGCAGCACTTCTATCCACACTCAGTCAGGTGAGGCAGAGGCTGCAGTGATTTCATGTCAACACAAGAGGGTGAAGACTGCAGCAGCAGCTCAGAGAAGCAGCACTTCAGTCCCTACAGCATCTTGAGACACAATATACTGAACATTCTGTGGGTCACACATGTCTTATAGCTGAGGTCACACTTTTAAAATCACAGCTGCTCTTTGACATTATCACTATCACCTGTACCGCTATGATTACATCGTCTGTCACTAGCTACTATTGCAGTCATTACTTTTACAGTAATAAAGGCTTCTGATATACCTGTTGCTGCAAATACAAAGCATACTGTGGTTCCATGCATGTGACTACCCTTGCTATAGCTTAAATGATCTCCCACTACTGCATCATATGATACTATTACTGCTGCATGTGCAGTGGCAGCTATCATACATTATGACTGGACAATATGATGACATGATCCACAACATACACCTCTACCTTCTATAAGGTTTTTGCTTCTTAGAATTTTAATCCTTAGATCACTTTTGCACGTGTTTAATTTTGTACTTTATTTAACAAACACGCTTGTATAGTTATATATTTATTAGCAACTTTTACATTTATTTTCCAGAAAAAAACATATATTTTTAATCATAATACACTGAATGTGTACCACTGTTACTACTGCAATTACAAATAACAATAATAATAATAATGGATGAAGAAAATGCACTGACTCAACATCAATTCGTGATATTTACTTTTCTAAATAAATGTGACGGATCTGGAAGTGGACCTAATGGAGAAAACCCAGTTATTTTAAAGCCTTTACCTAAATATAGACAATATAAAGTTGACATGCAGAAAATGATGTTATGATTATCCAGGAGAGTCTACTAATTGACAACAGCATATATGGCATAATAATACTAATATTTATAGTAGAAATCATGATCATTATCATTGTAATAATAATAAACAGCAACACTATTATCAATATAAAAGTAAAAGAAGTGTGTATATGTGGACATGCGTGCAGATGCATTCAAATGCACACCTGAGTGTGAGTGTGTCGGGGGGAAGGATCTCATACACATGCACTGACTCCTAAACAATAGTAATCATTAGTTAAACAAATCTCATACTTACTCTACAAACATAAAGAAGAAGCAGTCACAGAGCAGTAGTTAAACATGTGTCATGTCACTACCTGTTTGCAAAGTGATCGCACCTCATGTAAAGCAGCCACGTACCTGTGTGTCAACAGAACAGAGCTCCAGGTTAATGCATCAGTGGCATGAACCGCTGCAGTGCTCAGCCCCCGCTGCTTCCACCGTCTCACCAGCGACTCCAATAATATCAGACCACCGGAGACAAGAGCGCCACATTACAGCCAATACAGATACCTGTCGGTCCCTTCAAAATAAAGGTTTACACCACAGAAGAAACCTTTTTTTGTGTGTTATTTCCCAGTTAGAGTTTACGTTCACTGTTCGAGCGATCGCTTTGTTATGGAATCAAGTGCACACGTTTAAATTACATCTGGGATTTTGCATCGCTCACTCAGTTTCATCAATTACAATATTCTGGCTTTTATTTTGAAAAGAAATCAGTTGCTCCAGTAAACTGGTGCATCTATCTAATTTCGCACTGTTTCTGATAAAGTGACATTATTTGCTTGACCAATAGCCCACCATTCACAAGTTTACAACATTTTAACTACAGTATGAATTTCTATAAATAATATAATTCATACAGGTTAAATCGTAAAAGTCAAAAATGATCAAAAAACAATAATTAGTTAAATAATTTAACTTAAGATAAACTAAATTTAATGTAATTTACTCGAGTTTTGCACTGCTTGCTATGATTTTTATCCAGGTCAGAATCATTATTAATGTGAGGAAAAAAAACAGCATAACAAAAATGATTTGCAGGCACAGAGCAACACTAGCATTGATGTTAAATCTTCTTTCTGGCACCTCTCTTGTACACTTAACTTGTACACTGTTGTATGTGAGAATGCAATTGTCTGAGAGAGGTAACAAAAACATGTGATCTCTGCAGTGGAATTAATATGATACCTGCCTCTGCATGTTGCACCACCCCTCACCTGAACACTCTTCTGTTTCTGTGCTGTTGTGAACACGAGTGAAGAATCTCTTGTTGCATTGTTCATGAGTGAAAGGCAAACTCCAGAGAAAGCACAGACACACTCAGCTTCAGCAGTCACACTCTGCGTAGCTCTGGTTTGGTCTCCACCATCTCCTGAGCAAAACATCTGCTCAATGCTGAACAGGTTCACCTGCTGGCTTTTAACTCTGTTGGCAGTTTGGTGCTGAGCAGGTGGTGTACTGTGATGTCAACTGTTCTGGCGAAAACAACAGTTAAGAGGTGGTTGGCAAAATAAGCCTGATAAGTAGCATTCTGTGATATGAGAGGTATTTGAAAGTGGGTTTATCACATTTTGGTGATTTAATCCATAACATAAAATGCTAACCAGAACCTTGAAGGAGCTTTTAAAACAATATCTGTTTTATATTTATTTTATTTCCCTCTTGCTGCAGATACTGCAACTTGATAAAATGTCACTCAGAAGTAAGCTACTACCAATGAAAACAAAATAGCTCTAAAAAGTAAACCTACATCTGCTTTGACCCCTGGTGTTTGTCTGCAGTAGGAGTCAGAAACCCTGCCTCCTCTATGTTAACAGACCAGACAGGATCCAAACAAACAAATCTAAGTACACCCCAAAACATTCTTCCAAGAGATGGTTTCAGTCATATTGGGTAGTTCTTATCACGCTGATGAATGTTTAAGTGTTCATGTTTGGTTTTAATTTGTTATTTGATGACATAAAAGAGCCAAGACACCATGTTTGACAGCTGAGACATTGATACTGTGTCTCCACTCCACAATCACGACTGTGCAGACTCTGACCCTAAATGACATTACCAGTGCAAGATGGCAGCTCCTGAATCAGGTATATTTTGGCTGCTCTTCCGCTCCACACAGTAAAACTGAGGCTACTGGTGATAATAAGAAAACATTATTGCAACTATCTACTAGTGAGAAGAAGAAAAAAAACAGGAGCATTATTCTGCTCATTTGCCACTGGGTCCAATTCAAAACCCATTTTAACCCAAAATTATTCACAGGGTGAGGAAGACAGAATCTGGATTTAGAAGAGGTTCTTAGACTGAAACATGATCGCAGGGTGGGGCAGAGGAAAGGGAATACTCAAGATGTTTTAAGTCTATTCTCTATGGCAGCTTGAGAATATGGGTGGCTGTGAGAAACTTTACCTGGAAGGTGTTGGGGTGAGAAACTTCAATTAGCTGCTGCCATAATTCATACAGACAGCCTCTGATAAGGTCTCATGCCCGGTTTCGCACATAAATCATGAATCTGTCAGAGCAGCAATGTGACGAGTATCACGTGGAACCTTGAAGAAAACATCCCTTCAAAGATCCTCTCTTTACATTATTCATCCAGTGACCAATGCTTACAATAAACTCTGCAGGTCTCATAAACACTCACAAACTATACACATAATAGGTGATTTATATCTATGTCATATATTGTGGCAAATTAGGCCAAAGTGTGTTTAAATCCAGGACTGTGAATCATCCTTCAAAATAAAATCCTGGCATATTTTTGCAAAAGAGATCCAGAAACTAAAAGTAACCACAATGCAAGATCTATTGCTTTATTTTTGTGTGTGTGTGTTAAACTTTCCTTCCCACAGTTCCTACAAATATCATACTTTAAGCTGTATAAAAAGATTTGTTTGTCCACTTGGGGGCAGCAGAACAACCTGTAACATTTGAAATTCTTAAACTGTTACTGCTAGCAGCATGTTATTAAACAGCTAACTATTCATAATTCCAGCAGATATGGAACAACATTAAGATTCATTAGAGTTGTTTTTGTGGTCACCTGACGTCCAATGTTCATCCTCCTTAGCTTTACAACCAAAACAAAGTGCTGAAAGATGCTAATATGGTCTTGGCATCTTGGAGAAACAACTTTCTCGTAACACTCAGGGATCTGCAAGTATTCACCATTTGGGGTCACAGTGGACAGGATGTGTTTGGAGGAGCCAACCTGGGTGCCTAATGCTGCTGGGTGTATGGGAAGAGACTGGTGCTAATGCTGGTTCTGGCACACTGTCTGCAGACAGCACTGTGTTAAGACAACACAGCCAGACAGCAGCAACACCAATAGGCTGGGAGTTTAGAGAGCGCTTCCTGCTGCAGTTCAACATATTTTGATAGGGCCAACAGGCTTTTTTTTCCAGCACACGGCGGCAAACTCCGACACTTTCTGGACACAAGCATGGAAAGCTACTGACGGTGGCCGGGAAATATGCCAGAGCCTCACAGCTCCTGTATGAGCATGAGCTATTCAATAAAGTGAATGGGGGAAACTGAGAAAGCTTCATATTAAAGGTTCTGAGTGTACTGCAATAGTCTGTCAAGGCTATCAGAGGGAAATGGCAGGTAAGTGGACTATGACTTAGTTTAGATTTTGGGAAATATACTTAATTTGTCATTTAACATTTCCCAAACAAATAATAATCCAATGTAAAATTGCAAAATAAATAAATTCTGTTCATTGTTTTCAATTCAAATCAGTTCAGTTTTATTTGTATAGAGCCAAATCTTGATGTACATTATCTCAAGGCACTTTACATCTTAGAGCCAGACTAAAGGAATGCACACTGAGTCCAAGATGAAACCATGCACATCGTCAGGACATATATTTCATTATCAGAAAGAATAAAGAAAGAAAAAAAGAAAAAAAGTACTCTGGGAAAAACTTTGCTTAAATATTACTAACGAGGCAATGTGTGTGGACAGTCACTCACTTTGTCCCTCCCTGTAGCTAAACTGTCCCCTGTGGACAGTTTCTTCACTGTACTGCTCTGCATGGCCCTTATCAGCAAAGTGT